GCTCGGCTCGGCCCGCGCGGGCCGCTTGGATGCGGGGTCCGCGGGGCGTCCGCTCGGCCGAGCTCACCGGGGGGACCCCGATACCCGATCCCGGTCACGCCCGCGCCGCACAGCCAGGATGGGGCCGGGCAGGGCCAGGCTGCTGCCCCTCTCTTCTGTCCGGTGCGCGCCGGGCGCCATCCCCGTGTGCGGGGCCGCGGTGCAGGTGACAGCGGCGCGGGCGGGCGCAGCGAGAGGGGAGCGGGGAGCAGAAAGCCTGCCGCCCCCACGCGAGCCCGGAATTAAAGGCGCCGCGCCGCGCCGCGCGCGCGCGAGCCGTTGCTAGGTGGCTGTGTTCCCTAGGGATGCCGCGGGCGCGCGGAGAGGCTGGCGTGCTTCTTCCTTTGAGCAGTAGTATCTCACCACAGAAGAAACCGATCTTTTTTTTTTTTTTTAAGAACACCAATATCCAGTTTTTAAGTTACATTTCCTACAGAACAGCTTAACGCAATTCACAGGGAAAAAAAAAAAACCAACCACCAAAAAATAGTTCTTTCTGTGACAGTGTATACGTTTTACAAGCTACCTTTTAAAGAACATACTTTTAAAACAAATTTTCTCATGATAAAATGTTTTCACTAGACTTTGCGAATAACACATCAGGAAAGCATACAGAAAAAAATATGACTTGAAATCACCATTAACATTTTGAAATATTCTCCCCCCATGTACTCGTGTATACATATTTATTCTTTAAAATTAAAAAAAAAATTGGAGTCATTTGTGGTCCTAGGTATCAAATCCAGGGCTTCCCACATGCGAGGCAAGCGCTTAACCCCTGACCTATACCCCCAGCCCATGGTATGTTCCTAAAAATTCGTTCATTCTACGAGTATTTATTGCGCACCTGGAGCGTGCCAAGATTTTTTCAGGCCCTGCGGCCTTTTAGTGGAGGCCTAGAGGAACTCATTTATTGGTAGAGAGCAGAAGTAAGGAGGTGAGTGAAATCTGTGTGATATGCTAAATAAATACTTCGGACAGAACAGCATGGGTGGCGAGACAAATAGTGAGGTGGGGCTGGGGATATAGCTCAGGAGCGCAAGTGCCTGCTTGGCAAGTGCAAGGTCCTGAGTTCGATCCCCAGTACCAAAAATAAATAAATTGTGAGGGTGGAATTAACTGAGGACTTGAGAGCAGGCAGTTTCCTGGATAGACAGGCGCTGTCTTTTTTGAAAGAACCACCAGGACCAGGTGGGGTCTGTGTCTTGACTTGTAAACAGTCCAGCACTTGAAACATGGAATAAATACATAACCGAGGCAGCGTGCTGTGCTTAGGAGAACAAGACTGCTGAATTCCACTTGAGAACCTTGGCTCTACCTTCAGTAATTTGCTTGACCTCTTGGGGCTCAGTTTTTGTTTTTTGGTTGTTATGTCTCTGAAAAGGGCAGAATGTGTGTACATAGTGCTATTAACTTAGAGCGATATCTGGCTCACAGGGCTGTATTTTTTTCAAATTATCATTAGTAATCCAGTCATGCTATTGCTGCCCTTGGAAAGAAAGAGAATAGTAAAATACATATGGCCCCTCCATCTCCAGTCCCAGGCCTCAGAGGCAAATTTGGCCTCTAGGGCGGTGCAAGATGAAGCGTGTCCCCCTCCTTTTATATTATCAGCATCTCCCCAGGGACAGAAGCTATTCTTCTGTAGATGGTTCTTCCCCGTCCTTGTCTCAGCCCAGGAAGTTTGTATTTGTAATCCTGTGGAAAAGTCACTGGAATTGTAATGAGTTAATTCCAATCTACCACTTCCAGTGCAACCCACAGCATAAATAGACACAATAATACCTCCGAAATGGTGGGGAACCAAGGGGGTTCCTGAGTCTGGCCACAATGACAGCTATCTGGGACAAAGGCCTTGGCCCAGGACCAAACCCAGATTTTTTTTATTTGTGAAGAAGGGGGTGGCTTGAGGATGAGTGACAGAATGGCGGGAAGCAGGTGAGC